AAAAAATAAATAAATCCATTATTAAAAATATGGAGCAAAGTTCCCTCTATACTCCTCTCTTGCGATGCATCCTAATATTGTGGCAAACATGTGGCAAAGGACCAAAGGCCGGATTCAAACCCGGGTCGGCCGCGTCGCGGACTAAGGCCTCCATACATGGGTCGTGCGCACTAACCACTGCACCACCTGCATGCCCATAAATACAAATTGTAAATGTATTCATGTTTATTGAGTTGCATTTACAAATTAAGTCGTCAACCCCATGTCCGATTTTATTTTTGTAAATTAGTTGCTGATTATTTCAAAAATCGATTAATCACAATTAACTGTTTCATCCCTACTGCAGACCCCACACATCCTGGACAAAAAACTAAACTGCTAAGAGTTTAACCTTCAGGTTGTTGTAACATTACAACAGAGAAAGCTTATCCACACACACCGTCTGTCTGATGAATTCAATGAACACCTGATAGCCTAAAGGCTTCTAAACATTAGGGTTTTGATTCTGCTGCAAGAGAATGATCTAACAGTCCTTCCATGGGATGAATCAAAGCAGCTTTTTAAAAGCTTCCTACAAATCTCTAATGAGTATTCCTTCCTGCATCCTTTGCTAATATTATCTTTTCTATCTTCTATTTAGATTGAAAGAAGTTTCGTTTCTCCACTGCGCTCCTTCACAGCCAGATCCAGCCTTGTGGTTCGATTTGCATGTTTTCTAAGCAAAAACAAGGCTTTGTTTGGGCCGCTCTATAAAGCTTGGAACTCAACGCTAATCCAGACATTTTGAATTGAGGAAGCCTCATGGATTGAAGCGAAACGTCTTCAAAGTTGGAAAACAAAGCCCGGTGTTTTTTTTTTTGTACTTTTTTGGAATGATATACAATTAAATGGTAAAATGCACGACTTAATATGGAAATGTCCCATTAAAAATTAAAAATACATTTAAAGTTCTATATTAATGAAAATGTTATTTTAAAAGCCACTTAATAAAAAAAATTACGTTGAATGTTTGGGAAGTTTTTACAGGTTTTAATGATTTCCATGTTTTAAAAAAGTTTAAAAAACTGAATGGCACTGATTATCTTAATTCTGTCAATTAAATCATGAATTTCTGTAAACTGATCAGTGCAAATGTTAGGAAAGATTAAATCAACAACATGAAGGTGAAAAGTTTGTAAATTCCACTTGATTATTCAGACTACAGCTATTCTGACTGGCTGATTCCCTATGATCCAAGAGGGCCCCACAATCAGCCAATCAGAATACTACAAAGCACAAGCAGGGGGGTGGGGGGGTGGAGGCTGTTAGCACGGACTGTGATGGGCTGAAGCCAATGAAATAAAAGTCATACAAGCGACACGAGGCGTCTGATTGGCTGTAAAGTGGGGTCATCTGGGATCAAACCAGCCGCCACCATCGGCATAATGGCTGTGAAGATCCTGTTACACACAGAGAGGAGGAGGGGCTGATGTGACAACAGTCAGGTCAAAGTTCATTCACAGCAGAAAGACGCAGTGAAAAACTTTTCAAAATTGACGATTCTAGATTAAAGTTGTCTTAACCTGCAACGGGTCAAACTGTTCTTTTTGCTCTGAATTGTTCTTTTATGGAAGATTTCTGAAGTAAAGGCAGAAACTGTAAGTAACCAACAAAAAAAAGGAGAAGAAAGGGAGTCTGATTTTTTTTACTAGTTATTTATCAAAGCCAACAGATTTTTTTTTAATTTTTTATACCCAATCTGAAAGCAGGGCAAGTGATGACTAAAGGCCAAGTTATGCTTCTGACGCATAGCCTCTGCAACCGTCAAATCTGTCTCTGTGCGCGACCACGCCCCCTGCACAGAGGTTCTGCGACCATCGCGCATCTCAAAAAAATCCTGACTACGCGTCAGACGATCGCAAACCAGCGCAGACCTCCAGCGGAAGTGTGCAGACAAAAAGCAGCTGTGATTGGTCCTTGGTTTGCCTTTCTGGCTGTCTGTGTGGTCGTCCTTCCCGATTCGGTGCCAGGGGGCGCCATTTTTAAAAACAGAGGAACGACAACCATGGAAAACTACGACGAAACGTTAATCGAGGAGGTTCGCTCCATTAACAGAACCTGTTCCTCTTCGAAGTCCATCAACTCAACATCCATCTCTGTGACTGTGATATCTTGCAGATGCGAAATTGTTGTTTTGGAAGATAAACACTTCCGCCGGCGCCGCCGAAGTTCTCATGATGATCTGCCCAAGTTCTCGCGAGTTCCCAAATAGGCTCCCCCTTGCGCTTTGGCGAGAAACTGCTGTGCGTCTCTAGAAATTTCAGACTGACGATGCAGAAGCATAGCAGCAAAACTGGTTGGGGACCAGACCCAAGCGACTTTTGATGTGTGCGGTTGCAGAAGTATAATCTGCCGTTAAAGGGCTGGTTATCGTCCCGCAGCAGTGTGTTGCAGTGAGCTTGTCGCAGACATTTTTGGTTTATGCCCAATATTCAAGCGTGGTCTGCGCTATGTTATTCCACGCCGCAACGCAAGAGGGACAATCAGGAACTAGCTGTGGGTCTCACGGCTGAGGCGGTGGGGAATTCGGGACAAATTTGTATGACAAAGGAGGGACATGATGGTGAAAAATAGCGGGGATTGAGGTGGAGAAAGGGTCCCAGCGTTCTCGCGCACCTCGCTCTTCTAGCTGGTCCATCTTCACGAGTCGTTTTCCACAATGGCGGTCATACATACAAAACACGCCGGTAAGGAACCAAACAGGAAATACACATGGTGTACAGCAGATGTAGATTTGACCAATCAGAGCCCTCCTGTCTGCGGTCACCTACAATTTTGGAGAGGTGTATCAGAGTGTCTGCGGAAGGGGTGGGGCATTTCTGCGTTTACGGCGACACACGCATACGACCTGGTTTCTGAGCATAAATCAGCCTTAACTGTGCATCATTTATTGCTTTTAAATAAATTACCGTACATATAAAAAAGAAGTTCATTTTAATAGGGCTGAATCTTTTAATAAAGATTAATCGATTACTAAAATTAGAGACAATTTTCTGGGCAGGCCAATTTTATATACAATATATATAAAATTTGAACTTTTTGGTGAAGAATCAACAGCAAGGGGGACACAACAATGACCTGTAACAAAAAAAAATCTGAAGAGTGGGGCGAGCAAAAAAAATGAGCAGCTTTACTTTGAGTGCAGTGAAATCTCTCCAGAGGTTCAGTGAGGATCTCTGAATGATCCAATGTTAACCTGAATGACTGAGTGACTGAGGATGTTCAATAGAATCCACCTGTGTGGAATCAATTCTCAATATAAAGGCAACTGCTCCTGATCGACTCAGAGGTCTGTTTAAAGCACAGAGAGCATCATGAAGAACAAGGAACACGCCAGGCAGGTCTGAGATACTGTGTGGAGATGTTTTAAGCTGGATTTAGATACAAAAAGCTTTCCAAAGCTTTCTAGACATCCCAAGGAGCGCTGTGCAAGCAATAATATTGAAATGGAAGTAGTATCAGATCAATGTGAATCTACAAAGCCCCAGCAAGAGGCCCAGGATTGCTCTGTATGAACTGCAGAGATCTACAGCGGAGGTGAGAGACTGTCCATAGGACAACAATCAGTCATATACTGCACAAATCCGGCCTTTATAGAAGAGTGGCAAAAAGATAGCCAT